GGTCCCAAGAGTGAAGAACATCAGGGATATCGGTGTTATTCTTTGCCCTCTTTGTTGTCTGTCCATTTGGCCCTAGAGGGAGAGACAGTCACAGGCAGCCTGCTGCAGTGGAGAAACTAAAGCCTTGGATGTCTACTAGAGGACCAAGAAGGCCCCCAGCCCCTGAGCCAGAGATGTTTGAGAAGTTATGGAGAGGAGAGAGGTGAAGAAAGTGATCCCACAGAGATTTATATGAACACCCCTGAGCTACCCATGTATGGATCGGACCCTAAACAGCATATCAAAGGCTTTGAAAACTGATAGATCACCTCCCAGTCCCACCTGGCCACTGGATGGCACATAAGAATCTTGGACGTAGCTGAATACCATGGCAAAGGCTTTCATAAGTAAACTGAAACCACAACGTGATCCATAGAAGTTGGATAATAACTTGAAGACTGAACTTAACCAGTTGCAATTCCCTGCTAAAACAATTTTTAAAAATCAACATGCTCCTATTCCTATATATACACAGTGGAATACTACTCAGCCATAAGAAACGATGAAATCCAGCCATTTGTGACAACATGGATGGACATTGAGGGTATTATGCAAAGTGAAATAAGTCAAAGGGAGAAGGTCAAATACCCTATGATCTCACTCATTAAGTAATAGATAATAACAACAAACAAACACATAGAGACAGATTGGATTGGTGGTTACCAGAGGGGAAGAGGGGAGGGAGGAGGGCAAAAGGGATAATTAGGCACATGTGTGTGGTGATGAGTTGTAACTAGTATTTGGGTGGTTGAACATGAGAACATGATATAATCGATGCAGGAGCAGAAGTATAATGATGTACACCTGAAATTTATACAATGTTATAAACCGATGTTACCGCAATAAACACAAAAAATAAAAATCAACATGCTCTATAGGATTTAAAGAAGATTAAAAATTATATAACATCAAAATGTCCAGGATACAATCATAAATTACTCAACATACAAATAACCAGGAAATTCTCGGGATCTCTCAAAGGAAAAGACAGTCAACAGGCACCAACTTGAGGTGATGCAGATCAAGATTTAAAAGCAGCTATCGTAACCATTGTATAAGAAAAGTGATCACTCTGAAAATGAAAGTCCTAGCAGAGAAGTAGAAGATGGAACTTAAAAATATAAAAACTGGCGTAAAAAGTTTACTGGATAGGCTTTAGTACAATAGAGATGATGGGAGAGTGAATGAACTTGAAGGTAGGTCAGTAGGAATTATCCAGTCTGAACAACAGAGAGAAGAAAGATTGGGGGAGAAAATGAACAGAACCTGAGAGACCAGTGGGACAAGCCAAACAGTTTAACATTTTGTGTCAGCACATGCCCAGAAAGAGAAGAGAGTGCTGCAGAAAAAGTACTTGAGAAAATAATCCACGTCTAGGTTCATTATAATGAATGGGTTCTATAAAACTAAGTTGTTCAGCAGTGAAATGAGTAAGCTTCATTTATGTGTACATTAAAATAAGATGGCATTTCAAGTAGAATATATAATATATCCATAGTTGGTTCACAGAATAATTCTGTTAAATGAATCTTTGTTTGTCTTTTCAAGAACTTGCATCTAAATACCTGAGCTGTTATGGCGACAAACTTAAAAAACAGTAAAGGATCACGTAACAGTAATTTTAGATTTTAAAAATTTAAGGCTATTTGTGGGTTTCTAACAAGTCTGTAAGAACCTAATCAGAATAATTATTTATTGTAATTATTCAACAACTATTCAAATATTCAGGACCTGTTATGAACGAACTGGGTTAGGCACTAGGGATAGAAATAATAAAACACACAGTCCCTAACAACATGGAATGACTAGTGAGATTGACATGAATACCAAAATAGCCACACAAATAAAATACTTTGGTAAGCCTTCTGAGTTTTAAAACCTTTTAGTGACAGATTTGACCTGGCGGGGTAGTGAGGTGACTTTTGAGCTAGAAGAAGGGGGCTGGGGATGGGGGTTCTGGGTAGGGTGAAATCATTCCAGCAGTACTCAGAACAGTCACGGGTTACATATGTTGTCCCAGCATAATTATAATGTTCCTTTTACCCTCAAGTGGGCTTGATTTGGATGGACAAGTTTATGGTGCCCTATTTCTAGGAAGAGAGAATAGTTTGTAGAAAAACCTGGTGTGACTGAAGTATAGAAAATGGAGATAGATTTAGTTATCCGTGTATCTGTGAATGTATGCTTTATTTATTTCGATTGTTCTTCTGGTTCGTTATCTTTATATTATAAAACTTGTCTGAGTCAGATGAGAGCGGGGATACCAGGAAATTAGATTAGATAATAGAGTAGAAGGTTAGATAATGATTTATTCTCTAAAGAGAGTAAAACAGGATCTTTCTGAAATAAGGGACACCAGGTACTGTTGAGGGGTAGAGTCACTATGAAAACAAAGGTTAAAGCTTACACTGCAAGAGAGATCCCTAGCCCTTTAAGCTCTTTTGCCTACCAGACATCTTAATGCTCTCCAGCAAAAGAATGGAATATTTGGGTAATCTGACCTGGCCAGGAAAGAACTAAAAAATACTGACATGAGGGAGTTCCCCAGCAAAACAGCTCCGAGTGCCCTACGTTGAGGCCCACAATAAACAAGCCCCATCCATGGGCGTAGACTTTCTGATTAGCTAAGTCTTAGTACCCTATTCTTGGCCAAGAATCGCATACAAGAAATGTGGAAAAGAGACAGTTGGAGAACATCTGAGGATAAATGCAGATTAGTGCATAGAAAACAGAAGCAAATGGAAAAGCAAGATAGCTTTTAAATCCAGAGAAAACAAAAGTTTTACAAGAAAGAAAAAGTTAATATTATATCATCTAGCTCAGCCATGGAAAATGTTTAAAAAGCCTTAACATAAATAGTGAATATAACTGAGAAGGGGTGATGGGAGAGGATTCATTCAGTATGTCAAGTGGGCGGAAAAGAATATTTGCAAGAGTGCTGAATTCTAGTGGGAAGTCAGTGGGCAATGATATTAGCAGGTAGCATTATTGAAAGAAAGGTCTGAATCAGATAAGCTCTGAAGAGGCCCCTGTGCTCCAAAATTTTACTTAATGCTTCTAATATTTAAAATGGGTATTATTATTTACCTTCCTATTCAGTATTTGAATTCTTATTATCCAGTAGGTAAATTTTGTATGCATCATGTAATTGAATCTTAACAGTCATGTGAAGTAGGTTTTATTACCCACCAGGTAACCAAGCCAGGGGTAACTGCAAGGAATATCACAAAGCAGAAAAGTTAATAACTTTGGTAAGAGCCCCATGTTTAAAGCATATTATTTGTGGAATTGAAATACCATGGGTTCTGAAATGTTGTTTGTACATTAGTGAACTTTGAGTCTTAGAAATATGAAACTTACAGCCACTGCTTGGCTACCTAAAATACGAGGGTTAAAACCATCTATAAATTTGTTTTACTCAGAGCTAGGTCTTAATTGCAAATTTTCTTCCCCTAAACAATAAATTGTACCATTTTTTAAAATTTGAAACAAACTGCAAAAACATGGCCCAGTCTAATGTGTATTTTTTCTTTATATAAACAATGGTTAGCCTCTTTTAAAAAGAGAGCTAATTGTTAGCGCTTTTTTTTTTTTTTTTTGTGAGAAAGATCAGCCCTAGGCTAACATCCATGCCTATCTTCCTCCACTTTATATGGGACGCCGCCAGAGCATGGCTTGACAAGCGGTGCATCGCTGTGTGCCTGGGAACCCTGGGCCACCAAAGCAGAGCGCGCGCACTTAACCGCTATGCCACTGGGCGGGCCCCTGTTAGCTCTTCTTAAAAATTGCTTGGTAAAGTTATGGGCAGATAGGCTCTAAAATCATTAGCAAGCCTAACTCATTTTAAGTTTTTCGGGTGGGTCTCAGTACTGTTCTGTTTAACTTATTTACCCATCTTAGGAATTATTGCCTTCTGTGATTGGTCCGACTGGGCCAGTGATAGTTTCTTTTAGTGGAATGGTGAAACAGGCATAAAATTCTAACAGGATTCCTTGGTGCTGTGCTTGCCTTTTAATATGAAAGAATACCTGTTTTTTTGCTGGCTATGCTGTTGAGGATTTATTTCCCTTACAAAGTCTTCACTGGAAAAGAAAACATTAAGCATAATAATGCCATTTTCTTGAGTATAGAAGAAAGACCTGCCAAATATTAAGAGCCTTAAAATGTTTCTAGCCTTTAATCTGGTAATTTTACACTGTCCCGTGGAACTATTTTATGTTGTCTTTCTGTTTTATAGTGGGCACACTAAGGAGAAAGCACTTCCTTAGGTCTCAGTCAGGTAAATGAAGATTAGTTTATTTAGTTATGCCCACATGCTTCCATTTTGCTGTCTATTGCCTCTACTGTAGACTTTTCACTTTGTTGAGGGAGGCATCTTCTCATCCCATTAGAGAGCTGCATAGTATTCCCAAGATCTTAATGGGTGTGCTTGTATTGTTGAATTGCCAGCCAAAGCCAATCTAATTGGTGAAGGAAATTATGCTTTTTAAATTGTCATACATAATAAGGTTAAAAATCTGAGAATTTGATAGGGAAAAAAAGTATTTCATTTTAACTTGCATTTCTTACACTTACTAGTGAGAGGTAATGATTTTTCTTGGTTTATGGGCCTTTTGCATTTCCTCTGTATGTGGCGTTTTCATATTGTTTTGTCCATTTGTCTTTTTCTTAGTAAACTGCAAAAACGTAGTCTAATTTCCAGTTCGCTTTTTTGTTTTTCATATATAGCAAAACTTATCCATCTTCGGTGGCTATGTCAATATAGATAAACTATTTTGAAACAAAACTAAATTGTTAGTATTCATAAGAGAAGCTGGAACAAGAATGTGATAACAAATATAAAATAGGGGATCTTAATCATTGGAAAACTCATTTTAAGTGTGAGAGCTTTGTAATTTTTATGAGAGTAGGCAAGTACTGTTATGAATTAATCATCCTTTTTTTTTTTGGTTAAATAATAGATCCGAGTGGGACATACTTTTGAAGGATGTGCAATGTTCAATCATAAGTGTGACAAAAACTGACAAGCAGGAAGCTTATGTACTCAGGTAAGTCCTGTAGAACAAATGTAAGCTAACCGATTTCGCTCTGCATCATACTTTACATGTAAGGGCAAACCGTTCCTCTGGATCTTAGTTCTATTATCATTTTTGGCATAAAGTAAAATGTTTACTTCAGGTGTCCCTAGGCAAGTAGCTTTTGAAGTCTTACCTAATAGCTCTTCAAGATGGTTGCCATCTTTACCTCCTTGTAGTTAGCAGGAACTATCTGTAAAGGAGCATAGAATGGCATTGTACCTTTACCCTCCACCTCATATATTAAATCCTTTTTAGTATATGCCTCTCAATATCAGAACTTCAGGGAAAGTGAAAATTAGCTTCACCATACAAATAGGAATGCTGTGTGTAAAAGAAAGCCATTCAGCCTTTTTAAAGGCACAAAGTTAATTTATTCAATCAATATATTGAATTTTTATAGCTCATATTATAATGGGCGTTGGGGCTACTGGATTGAATGAGGTGCATACAGCGCCTGCTTTTTACTAAGCTTGTGTTTGGCATATACAGATGTTTATCAAATGCTTATTATGTGCCAGGCCCTGGGGATATAATGGTGAGTATAAATAAACATTCCTTTCCTCATGGAGCTTATTATCTAGTGAAAGAAGTAATGAAATGGTTACAGAAGTACATGTGAGAGTGGGTGGTACAAGATGAGGTGTAAAGTATGAATTTAGTAAAGAACGTCCTAGGATAGGTGAGGTGAGGAGGAAAGTATAGTAGAAAAGAGGATTTGTGAAATGAGCTAATGTGCTTTATACATAATTCAAGGCCTGTTTCTGTGGGACTCGAGAACCTTAAATGGATTTTTGTATAATAGAAAAGGAAGAGTACTGGAGTACATTATTTGTTTCCTTGAGATCTTAACATGTAAAATTACTAGCCAGATATTTGCATAATTATAGTCCAATAATGGATTAATTGCATCTCAGGGGTACATAAACATCATTATAATATTGTGACTTTTTTCATCTGCAGTGAGAGTAGCATGTTTGTCTCCAAGAGACGTTTCATTTTGAAGACATGTGGTACCACCCTCTTGCTGAAAGCACTGGTTCCCCTGTTGAAACTTGCTAGGGATTACAGTGGGTTTGACTCCATTCAAGTAAGTGATCAAAAAACTTGATTTAATCTTTTTTTTTCCACATATAAATGTTAGGGTTCTGGATATGCCTAGTAAATAAATTTGTATGCTTACTGCTTCAGTTGTAATGAGTAAGGATGCTCACACTATCGGAGAAAGAATCTTCTGCCTGTTGCTCACGAACAGCAGAAAATATGGAGGGAGCAGAGAATGAGTTGGGATAAAACTCCAATGGGAGAAAGAAATGAAGAAACCAGACATTTTCAATGGTTAACTCCTTGGGTGTGGTTACTATTAACAGTAGAAAAGCTAGGAAGAGAAGGAAAAGCAAGGAAAATGATCCAGTCTTGATAATGAAGAGTTGATTATGTTAAAGAGCAACAATGAGTGTTGGGGTAAATTCTGATAGCAGTCAAGAATTAAGGTGTTTATACCTAAGGTATAATTGTTCTGACAAACAGATGTTGATTTTTAATATTTCAATTAGGGTAAAGGACAGCTTATCATTAGGACTTAAAACAGTTTTTGTTAATTATTGGTCCTTATAAGAAATGTAAAGCAATATGTTCTTAATTTTTTGATCACTGACTCTTTTGAAACTAAATGTACACATGTTCTCCCAAAAAAATTTTTGCTTACATGCCTATTCAAAAGCTCAGTAGAAACCACTGCTCTAGAAATAAATATACCTTGTCTCTGCAGTTGTTATGACCCCATCAGTAGATTGGGCATTTTTTAGTTTCTAGAAACTCATTGATGCAATATACATTATTAATGCTCTGTTCAGACTCTTCACAGCTTAAAAACAGAGTTGTTCTATATAACACTAACTTGTGGATATTGGTCTGAAACCTTGCTCTCTGACACAGTGGCCTTCATTTTTGTTGTTGGCCAGCAAAGGACTGTGTATCTATTAAGCATATTAAAGGAAAAACATGTTAAATGTCATTGGGGAAAATATTTGTAGAAGTAGAGTTTTGATTTTGATATGCGTATGTTAGAAAATAGTTGATTTGTTTAGGGAAGGTGATAGAATTCTATGTATGAAGTTGTCTGTCTTTTTTAGAGCTTCTTTTATTCTCGTAAGAATTTCATGAAGCCTTCTCACCAAGGGTACCCACACCGGAATTTCCAGGAAGAAATAGAGTTTCTTAATGCAATTTTCCCAAGTAAGTTTAAATAAACAGTTGAAACCTATTTTCTTAAAGTTAGAGGGTATATCCTTTCAGAGATCTTTTATATATGAATGCATATGTATGCCAATATAGCACATTATATAGTTAAGATAAATGTATCAGTATAGCTGATTACAAATTTTAGAGTATGTCTGTGTATACCTCAGGTCAGAGTTGAAATGATGGACAAAGAAAATGAAGGAATTGATCACCTGCCAGAAAGAGAGTTCATCTTCAACCAGCCAGTTGCTCTAATTTATATCTAAGTTAGTGGTTATGAACGCTGTGATCCCTTCATCCAGAAAAATGCCCAATGACTTCATAAACCTGTGCTAAGACACTGGTCCGTGTTAAGAAACTCTGGTCCGGCATTCTGTACAGGAATTGAGGTGGCTTAAAAATGATCAACACAATGAGATCATAGTGTCACTTCAACCAAATTGACCAGATTTCCTTCCATCTATTTACTATGCTTTTATTTATTCCTTTTTCGGCTTCAAGGTTAGGGAATTATAAAGATAACACCCTTATATTCTAACACCTGTATTCTAGATGAGGCTGAAAACCTAGGATGATTTTAGTATCTTGGCACAAAGTCACTCACAGGCATGATTTAAAAAGAAAATCAGATTAATACCTATTGTTCTTACCCACTAAAACAAAAACTATACTAGGCTATGTCAGTGAGTGCTGAGTATAATTTAGTGTAAATATCTATCAATTGTTAATTTACTATGTTGAATAAGGCTTTGAAACAATATGGAAAGGAGGATGTATTAGACAAAATGACTTGTATTTACTTGGGAGAGTAGATAAATGGGTGATCAAATTCCATTTCCTAATGGAGTTTTAGGGGAGAGTGAGCCATAGTTTTTCTCAGCACCGTTTAGACTGACGCACTGTCTGAAGTATATCTTTAAATAACAGCCAATAAAATATTTTTTTTTAAAAGGGAGGGGGAGGATCCTGCCTACTTGCAAATTGACCCACTTAAATTTCCCTTCACTGATGACATTTCTAATGGGAGGCAAGTAATATCGTCCTAGCTATTGGAAGGCTAGGAAGAAACCATCCTATCAAATAGCTCTGTTACATTTATTTTACATTCTCCTCCCTCAACAGATGGAGCAGCATATTGTATGGGACGTATGAATTCTGACTGTTGGTATGTTGGACACAACTTCATCGATTTTTTTTGTACTATATAGCATTTGTTTTAAACTGCCAATTGTCATTTTTAGAAACTATTTTTTACTTTTACATAGGTACTTGTATACTTTGGATTTCCCAGAGAGTCGGGTAATCAGTCAGCCAGATCAAACCCTGGAAATTCTGATGAGTGAGCTTGACCCAGCAGTTATGGACCAGTTCTACATGAAAGATGGTGTTACTGCAAAGGATGTCACTCGTGTAAGATTTTAAATAATAATACCTCTGGATTCTTCTGTGTGGGGACTAAATCTTTTGTTTAACTCATTCTCAGTTTGGTTTTCAAATTTGTATGTGACTCAGTCTTTTGCCATTTTTCCAGGAGAGTGGAATTCGTGACCTGATACCAGGTTCTGTCATTGATGCCACACTGTTCAATCCTTGTGGGTATTCAATGAATGGAATGAAATCGGATGTAAGTAATAATATTTTGCTTAATGATTATTTAAATATTTCAGTGTACCCTTTCCATTATTAACACAAAAACTATTTCTCTAGGGAACTTATTGGACTATTCACATCACTCCAGAACCAGAATTTTCTTATGTTAGCTTTGAAACAAACTTAAGTCAGACCTCCTATGATGACCTGATCAGGAAAGTTGTGGAAGTCTTCAAGCCAGGAAAATTTGTGACCACCCTGTTTGTAAATCAGGTAATTCCTTTTGTTATTGACCATAAAACCTCACAGGAAATAAGGATACTGAGGCATGTCATAAAATGTATTCTAAGATGGCACATACCAGTCAGATATCCAGAGGTACTACTAGTTGAAGTTATTGGTAGATGAAAAGCTTGGTGTGTTTCATTAAATATCAGTTGGTCCTTTTTTTTTTTTGTGAGGAAGACCGGTTCTGAGCTAACATCTATTGCCAATCCTCCTTTTTTCACCCCAAAGCCCCGGTAGATAGTTGTATGTCATAGCTGCACATCCTTCTAGTTGGTGTATGTGGGACACGGCCTCAGCATGGCCGGAGAAGTGGTGCGTTGGTGCCCGCCCGGGATCCGAACCCAGGCCACCAGTAGCGGAGGGCGCGCACTTAACCTCTAAGCCATGGGGCCCGCCTTTTTTTTTTTTTTTGTGAGGAGGTCAGCCCTGCGCTAACATCTGCCGATCCTCCTCTGTTTTGCTGAGGAAGACTGGCCCTGGGTGGGCTAACATCCATGCCCATCTTCCTCCACTTTATATGGGATGCCATGCCACAGCATGGCTTGCCAAGCAGTGTGTCAGTGCGTGCCCAGGATCCGAACTGGCGAACCCTGGGCCGCTGCAGTGGAGCGCGTGCACTTAACTGCTTGCGCCACCAGGCCGGCTCAGTTGGTCCTTGATTTATATCTAGCCCAATTGATGGGCTCCTCCTGTCTTGTCTGTTTTCCCTGTTGACAGACAGGGGAGGGTGGAGGGGGAGACTGGGACTCCATAAGATGTCCCACTCCATTCAGCCCATGAGAAGGCAGCTAAAATATTCAAATGCCGCAGTTTCATTAAGATAGTAGTCTTAAATGTTTATTGCATGACTTTTGTTTGAAAAGACTTCTGCAGATTGGAAGCACTAATGGTTCATTTCAATTTTTTCCCCAGAGTTCTAAATGTCGCACAGTGCTTTCTTCGCCCCAGAAGATTGAAGGTTTTAAACGTCTTGATTGCCAGAGTGCTATGTTCAATGATTACAATTTTGTTTTTACCAGTTTTGCTAAGAAGCAGCAACAACAGCAGAGTTGATTAAGAAAAATGAAGAAAAAACGCAAAAAGAGAACATACATAGAAGAAGGTGGTGGCTGCTTTTTAGATATTGATACCGGGGGCCATGCTTTCCATAACCACCACCTTGTAGTTGCAGAAAGCCCTAGATGTAATGATAGTGTAATCATTTTGAATTGTATGCATTATTATATCAAGGAGTTAGATATCTTGCATGAATGCTCTCTTCTGTGTTTAGGTATCCTATGCCACTCTTGCTGTGAAATTGAAGTGCATGTAGAAGAAACCTTTTACTATATGAAACTTTACAACGCTTGTGAAAACAATTCAATTTGGTTTATGCACAGTGTAATATTTCTCCAGGTATCATCCAAAATTCCCCACAGACAAGGCTTTCGTCCTCATTAGGTGTTGGCCTCAGCCTAACCATCTGGGACTGTTCTATTAAATTGCTGCCAGGATTTTACATCCAGTTACCTCCACTTTCTAGAACGTATTCTCTTCTACTAATGTTATTGAAACCAATTTCTACTTCATACAGATGTTTTTTGCAACAGCAATTAAAATTTTTCTTCCACGAGTCAAGTCCTCTTAAGAAGATGATTGTAGTTATCCATTTTGTCTATTACTCTTAACATTATTGCCTCCTGCACTTGTATTCCTTTAATTGATTTCATTCCTCATTATGGTGTCTCCCCTTCCAACCCCCCACCCCCCCAATAAAGCAATACACTTACACTTGGGTTTATACTAATCTTATACCCCAGAGCGGGAAGAAGGGTGGACCCTGGGCTTAATTTTCTTTTAAGGTCAAAGGAGTTTGGCCTCCTTTTTATTGGCATGGGCTCTCTTGGGAGATAATGATGAAAATAAACTTCTAGTGTTGGTTAGCAAGGAAGACACATAGATTGATATTAGGGTATGCTGGCAGAACTATATGGGAACTGTGCCATTCTGTGCTCTCCAGTAAATGAGATTAGCTTCTTGTGAGTACCATGCCTTTACTAACGTGCTAAGTAGTAGTATAAAAGAATCGTTATTGCTAAGTGTATTAGCAAAGAGATTTAAGATAAAGGTTGTATTGGATTCAATAAGTCAGGTCAGCTCAGGTCATTCACCTTAACTTTTATTTTAGCACCCATTTCCACTATTTTAGCACCCATTTCCACTAATTTCTATTGATAACACCATAAACTTTGGTTCAAAGTGGAATCAGTGTCTTTGCCATCTTGTGACTACAAGTTCTATGACTTGAGATGGTTGTGATAGTGTTCTGACTTTATCTGTTCCTCTTACTGGTATTCCTTTCACCATGGTTTCATAGGATCAAGTGAATGGCTGCCCAGAATGAGAACTATTCTGGTTATTCATACACAGTGAAGCAGAATGCTATCCATAAAACTTAACATATAAAATTCCAAAATAGTCAGTGGGAAATGACTAGAAATACAGGCTTTCAAGAGTTGGCATCTTTTAGCTATATTTGCAAATACTGTGAGATTTAAGCAGCTGAGGAAACAGCAAAGTTGACTAAATTTCGTATTTCTTGTCCACAAAAATTTTTTATCCTTTCTGGATTGATGCAGTGATGTTTCTGTTCCTTCCGTATTTATAAATGAAACACTTTTTTTTAGTGTTTCTAAACATTAAATCTACTTGGTTTGAAATCAAGTGGTTGGAACACTTTTGACTTTTATTTTAAGCATGTTGTTGATTGAAAGTTTCATTGAAGAAGCTTTCAATCAGTGGATCAGTTTGATTCTGTAACTAGTACACAGTACCTAACGTTACAGTGCTGTTTTGAGGACCAATGCTCAAAGTGGATTTTGTTCTTGAACAGTGTCCCAGTAGATTTGATGACATTTGTTGGCTTGAGGTCTGATTTTTTTTTTTTTTTTCGCTAATAGATTTAAGATTTCTACCTAATGTTGAAAAACTGCACAAATTTGTATGGAACAAAGCCTAGGGAAAAAAAAACTGTAGATTGAATAGTAATCTAAATGAATCCTAGTATGTATGCTAGAGGAGGGAAAATTTTGGTGCCATAATTTCTCTCTTCGTGGTGTTGGACTTAAATCAGTCGAAATGTATTTCTGTACCACAATTTAAGCTTCAATAAAAGTTTGCTTAATTCATTGTCTAGTGACATTCAGAAAGTTTTCTGTTGATGCATTTTTTTAATATTATACATAACCAAATACTAGATGTCTGAAGTTTTTATAATTAATTGAGGAAATCGATATTTAACTATTATTTTCTAAGATTTGTGAGACTATCATGAAGACATAAGATCTTTAAACTCCTGGGAGAATATCTGATTAGTTTGTATTTAACTAAACATTTTTTGTTAGTGACTATATAACTGAAGCTCCAAAGAAATATCTGGGGTATATACCAGGGCATCAAAGAGTAGAAGGGTGAGTAATAAGAATATATATTTGTGAGTTTGGAGTTAGAGGAAGTCACAAGTTTGAAGGTGGAATGTTCCAACCTTTATTTTATGGAATAGGCTCTTAATGGTGGGGTGGGGGAGGAACAAGCTGTAAGCTTCCCTTTATTCCATTCATGGTTATTTCTGTTACCTAGAACAAAGTTATAAGCTTGATCATTTTGCCATGCCAGGTGATCATTTATTTGGCAAAGTTTCAGTTTTTCAGTCTCATGTCTACAATAAGCTGAAAATGAGAATCTCATAAAAATGTATATTCATATCTTAGAATATCTAAGAATAAGTTTATTAGAGAATATTTTCCAAAATTTGAGTAAAAGAAAAGAATTGATCCTAGAAAAGCCCATATGTGTCTGATACGTACTTCACAAGGTTCTTATACAGGAACAGGTAAGTGAGTTTGGGGGGACACTAATGAGGAATCATTGGGTTAATTGATCAGATTTCAGGCACATAGGTGGTAAATGTGATATTATACTATGAAAGATGCAGGACTTTACTTACTATTAAATAAGTACTCCCCACCTTCAAACTTGACATTCTCATCCACCCTTCTCTTCCTCCTGTTATAATAGAAGAAGTACTCTTCCTTGGGATTCCATCCCATTCGTACCTTAAGTGACTTTGTAACTGAGCTCTAACTGAACTCGCTTCAAACTGCTTCCCGTAATCCGTCATTTTCCTGGATGCTCAAACCAGAAATCTAGGATGAAATTGAGGCAGGGTCATAGTTAGAGGTCTGTGATGTGACTAAGAGGGGAAGAACACCATTGTTGGAAAGTGTCAAGAGATGTCCAATAGGCTGTTGGGTATATGAGCTAGGAGCCCAGGAAATAGATGAAGATTTTAATTGGAGAATTTTCAAACATAACAGAGTAAACGAAATAGTATATCAAACCTTCGTACCCTAGTATCAACAATCCTCAATTCTGCTTTGGTACATCCATCTATTCACTACACACACATCTTTTTTAAGATTTATATGAATTGAAATACAGAAATCTTAACTACATTTTTGGAAAATGGGTGCACTTTTTAGCCCACAGCCATATCAGGACAAGGAAGGTTCGCTTATCCCTACCCAGGCATCTGAGCACCCCATCCCACCCCTAAGGAGAACTGCTCTTCCGATTTTTTTCATCATAGACTAGGGTTTTATTTCCCCCTCTGGAACTTGATATAAATTGAATCACGTAGTATATACTCTTAGACAATGCTTTCATTTAGTATAAAGTTTTTGAGTGATTGAACCATGTATTCCTTACTGTTGAGTAGTATTCCACCGTATGAATGTACCACAATTTGTTTTTCCATTCTCCTGTTAACGTTTTATTGGTTTCCAATTTTTGGAAAATATGAATAAAGCTGCTATGAACATTTGCATACAAGTATTTTTGTGGCTTCTGGGTGTGTAGTAGTACCTCATGGTATTAATCCGAGTAATTTCCCTGATAAGTTTTCTCAGCAATGTTTTGTATGATGCTTTGTCTTTGTCTTGCATGGTTTTTGATTAGTTCTTAAGTATTTTAGGTTTCTTGATACTGGCGTCAATAGAATTATATCTTTTTCTGATTGCTAATTTATAGATCAATTAAAAATGTTTTTTCATCTTCTATCGTGAGACCTTGCTAAACTCACTCTTGTTTTCCGTATTGCACTGCTAAGGGCCTCTGATACATGTTGAGTATAAGTGGTAAGAGCAGGCTGCGGCTAAGGAAGTGCTCCAGGTGGTGGAAGGGCATGTGAGAGTGAGTGCATCCTTGCATTTTGCTCCCTAGGGGCTTTGCTTGCCTAAGTCTTATCCTAGTCCTGTATCAAAGGCAGACTCCGTGTCCCAGTTTTAGGAAGAAAACATTCAGTATTCCATCTGTGTTTGCTGTGGGTTTTATGTGGATGCCTAGATAGATGTCTTTCATGTGGTCTCCTGTTTATAGTTGGCTGTTTTTCTCATGAATGGGATTGAATTTTGTCAGATGCCCTCTTTTTTGCATCCATTGAGGTGATCGTATAGTTTGTCTCCTTTATTCTGTTAAGATACTCTTCTTGTCATTGAGGAGTTTAGTAATGGAACCTGATGACTGAAAGAGGCCCGTAAACATTGGGTGCGGAAATGTCTAAAGTAACTCCCTAGGGTACGCAAGTAGAAATGATACCGCCCAGATTCACACTTTGGCTCGTTGTCTTAATTACTATGCTGCCTCTCAGCTAACCCAGCCTTTTTTCAGTAAGTCTCCCTTCGACGCCTACCCAAATCTTGGGAATTCTTTTATTTCCCCTCCTACTTTATTTACAGTTTAATTAATTTCCCCATCCACGATAGCATCTTTGCTTCCTTTGGCTTCAGTTTTAGCGTCTTAATATTAAGGGAGGTTGAGATGAACCCTGGAGGTTGGAAAAGTCTCCTCCGTGAACCTGTTGATGTCCTTGGCCTTGGCGCTCCGTGCAGGTTCGTGGTACCGTGAGGCCAGCCCTGACTGGGACGCAAAGCCTGCAAAATAAGGAGAAAAGGAGACCAGTGCTGGTGGGGCCTTACGGAAATAAATACACAAATTCAATGCTGGTGGCTTGGAAAATAGTTCCTAGGGAGGGTAATCTGGTAACGCATTTTTAGCTTGAAGTTCTTCAAAACACGCATATACAGCCATGTACAAAGTCACATGTAGAAACAACCTACATGTCAAAAATTAGGGTGCTGGCTAATGTCTATGCAATTACATTAAATTTTTAAAGCACATATGTTCACTATGATTATAACTAGGTAAAACTACGTGAATGTTCAGTCAGTTAAAAATGCTGAGAATTAAATGCAGGTCATGGTGCTAGATGCTGAAAATATAAAAATGAATGAGCCATTATCACAATCCCTTCAAAGATCTAATTCTGGGAGAGGAAGTAGACAAACTGATGATAGAGGCATGTGCTCAAGAGCACAGGGAGTGTTGCCTAAGGAGGTTGGGAAACAGTTAATAGAACTAACAGCTGTAGGAATCCACTAAAAAGCAAGGATGTGGCATTCTAAGGCAGATCTTTTTTATTTTACTTTTTTCAAAGAGATGAAAGTGAATTGGTTGCTTTAGAAATTGTAAGAATCTAAGAGTGGAGGTGTGGAGGGAGGAGGGGAAGTGGTTAACATGTTGGTAGAAAGATCATGGTGGGTGATAAACTTAGATTTCAGCTTCTGTTCAACCCCTGACCCCGGGAACTACACATTGATTGATTCCCTTACCAGGAGTATTGGCTACTGGCAGCTCACTGCTAAGTCACTTTCTAGAAATTGTTCTCAGCTAAAGACTTCTGTATAATAAGAAAAATACTTGAAGAAACTTAATTTGGTAGGAAATGTAGAGGGGCGAAAAAGATAATCCTGGAGGGAGCTTTAAAATGGATTGCAGACAGATAGGCTGGATGTCAGGAGACTAGTTAGACTACCGCAAGAGGAGAGGTGAGAAATGTTAGGGCGAATGTGATGAAGTCGCAGAAACAAAATGATAAGTAGGAGACACTAAGGAGGTAAATGTAGAAGACCTCGAGTTTTCTGGCCTGGTTCTACTGACAACTCAGGAGAGGGAGAGGACTGGGATAGAAGATAATAGGTTTGCTTTTGGCTATGTTTTGTGTTAATGAGCCAAAAAGTGGATACTGAAACTCAAAATTTGCTATGTCAGGGTTGTGGGATTACGGGCACTTTTCATAAAGAGTGTCGAAGCTTTTCTGCAAGCCTCTTAAATTTGTTTACTTGTAATTTTGAAAAATTGGGTAAGACGGTAAAATAAACCTGTGCGCCTGCAGGAGGTTGGTAAAATAATCGTACATTGAATTATGTTGAAGCTGCCACAACGCATAGGTCTGTGTTCGCCTGATAACATTTTTATAACATTCCAGAAAAACAAGTTACAGAACAATAGTAAATGGTCATCTTTTTTGTTTTAAACACAATAGCCATTTGTAGATGTGCACAGAAATGTGGAATAATAAATACAGGAAGCTCAACAGTGTCATCTCAGTGATGAAATTATGGGTGTGTGTTTTTACTTATTTCTACTACATACGTGAACTATTTGAGTAGTAAATAAAGCTATCTAGCAAAAAAGTGTCCCTGCTGTTGCTCCCTGATTCCCTTGAGCCACCTATCCTCATCTATACTGTGCAATGATAGTAGCATGCGAATCAGAAGCCAGAGCTCCCGCGGGGCATACAGCCCTGTGGAGGCATGCTGAGCTGAGCGTACTGGATTTCAGCCCTGGCGGGGAAATAGATTGGACGCCAAGGTTAAGGTAAGACCAGGTAGGTTCAGCGACTGAGGCCAGTGGCATTCACACATTGAAAGAGACGTGACTGGATTGATGCAGGAATCACTGGGCATTTTTCTGATGGAATTGGGGTAAAGCATCATTTAGTGTTTTTCAAATTTTTGACATGGACTGGTTTTTATTTCCAATCTGTCACAGATTATCAAATTTTGTAAACTGCAATAAGTCGATTATGAAAATGAGTTTTTAAAGAGATAGCCTGATTTTTTCTTTTTTTTTTTTTTTCGTGTGTGAGGAAGATGAGCCCTGAGCTAACATCTGTTGCCAATCCTCCTCTTTTTGCTGAGGAAGACTGGCCCTGGGCTAACAAACATGCCCATCTTCCTCTACTTGACATGGGATGCCACCACAGCATGGCTTGACAAGTGGTGCGTTAAGTCCACACCCGGGATCCGAA